CTACAAGAAAAAGGACTCTGTCTTCTCCATGGAGGAATCAGAGTTTCGGGAACCAGCTGTTCTGGTCCTCCAGGTCTGGGATTATGACAGGATTTCAGCTAATGACTTTCTAGGTATGGTGTTACCTGGTGGAAGTGGGGTGACCTGCTGGAAGTGGGGTGACCCTTACCTTGCTGGAGCATTTCCCTGGGGTTAATCTCTCTGAGAAGGGACAGTAGGACCATCAGATCAAACTCTTCAGCTCAGCAGTCATCTGGGCTGTTTTTTCACACCTGAGCTACAGACAAAGCCTGGAGATAGGCATGTCCCCTACACAGACATGTAGTGCTTGCATGCTTGTCCCAGATCCTTGGTGTATTTTTTCAGGGCCTGTCACACCACAGGACTTCCAGGTTCTGCTTCCTCACAACATTTCCAATACACTTGCTTGTTTTCTGTGCTCTTAGATATGCAGATCTCAAAGTCTGGGCTTAAGAACATTTTTCCCAGGACCTTATGTTGTGGGAACAGGGACAACCTGTGTGAGACTAGACAACCTTTGTGAGACTATTGGCACTTGAGTTGCAGCATCCCATTGCTGGGGCCTCAGAGCTCCCTGGATGCTCTGGAACTTCCTGGTAATAAAACCTGCTGAGCTGGGCATGCAGCAAGGCCCGGTGCCAAAACCGAGCTAGTGGTGATTCCCCACACATTATGCTACCACAAGTACTGCTGATTCTCTCTGATTTCTGCTGTCGTTCCCAAGCTTATAGCACTCTGTTCCTCCCTTCTTTAAATGTTAACCTCCCTAATAAAAAGCAGCCCCTTTCCCCTACTATCTCCCGGGCATGTTTAAACACTCCTTATACTTCAACCTTTCATAGTGTATTTAAGAGGCTTTACTGCTTGAGGCATTTCCAGTGGTTCAGCCATGAAGAACTGAGGCACTATTAACAATTCCAATGATTTCTGGCATGTATAATCTCAGGAACTTCTAGATAGTAAGGGGCTTCTGCAGGTTTTATTGCAATCTCCTGCCCCAAGAAGGCTGGATGCACTGTAGGTCAGGTTGCTTTGGACATTTTCTGGGTAGGTTTTGATTATCTCCAAGGATGGATTCCTAGCATGCTTCTGGAACCCTTTTCCTGGCTGCACCTTTCTCACAATTCTCAGTTTTTTTTACTTGCAGCATTTTGTGTCTGTTGCCTTAGGTGCTTTCATTATCCATTTTTGAGAAGAGTCTAGCTCCATCAGCTCTGTAGCTTCCTTTAGGCTGTGAGGGATGCAGCAAGATCACCCCCTTGACCTCTCTTCTCTGGATTGAACACATATGTGTCTCTTATTCCTCTTGCTGTGGCACCTACTATCTCAGCCAATAAAAACTATTTAGTTGACACCTTTCTTGTATTGGGAGTCCAAAACTGGGCAGAGTATCCAGATGCAGTCTCACTCAGAAATGAGCAGAGAACACTCACATCCCTTGTCTGCTTTTACCAGTACAGACCAGGATGTGGTAAGATTGTTTTGTTGCAAGGGATCAGTGCTAAAGTGGGACAGGAGCTCATTCTGAGCAGAACAGAGGCATAAGGCCAAACAGAGAGATGAACTGAGTCTGTTGCAGATCTATGATAAACTTGAAACTTTTAAAGCACTTATAATTTTAAATCATTATAATTTTATAAGTTTAATTGACATTTCCAGGAATTAGAGAGGAAGATCAGCTTGCACATGTGAGGAGAGCAGGGTGGGACATGATAAAGGGGTGAAAATAACTCACCATATGAACTCACCAAACAGCTCTTATCAAAAATGAGATGAGACCTGGGGCTTCTGCCTCTTGGTCTCTAACTCCTGAGCTAGTAATTTCTTATGCAGAATTTCAGGTTCTCCATCTGTAAATTTGAAGGGTGCTGCTAGATCATTGCAGCAGCTGGGACCTACTCATGGCACTTGGGAGTGTGGCAGAGACAGCCAAATGTCATGTGGGGCTGACCTCAAGGTTTTACCACGTGTTCTCCTCTTCCCTGTGCCTGCAGGCTCCATCGAGCTGAAGCTGCATGACATGGTGCGGGCAGCCAAGAGCTCCGAGCATTGCACCATCAAAATGGCCAAGGAGAATGCAACACCTCGATTCTCCATCTTCCGAAATAAGCGCATGAGGGGCTGGTGGCCCTTCATCAAACTCAGAGATCAAGAAGATGACGAGCGAGAGGAAAGGGAGTACAAGAAGAAGAAGAAGAAAACAAAGTGGAGCAGCTCAGTCAGACCAGAGGACAGGGAATTCACAGACCCCAGTGGGAACAAGTATTTCCTGACGGTAAGGTGGGGAGCTGGCACTGGTGAGTGCAGCCAGTGTTTTTCCTCTGCCTTGATGGCAGCCTGTCCTACACACACACAATCTACAAGGGCAGCAGTGACCCAGCTTCTACAGGATCCTGAAGACTTCTTCCATCTACTGCTGAGCCAGCACTTTGTCTACCCTGAAGAACCAGACGCTGTGGCTTGCAGGGGTGTCTGACTTCATGTATTCCTCTGAGCTTTCCACAGAGCTCAGCTCCATGAGGGGAGCTGTATTTGTTTAGGAATTTAGTGTTCCCACTGAAAGACCTCAGACCATGTTCTCCTTGCTCACTCCTACTCCAAAGCAAGAGGCACATGGCTGCCCATCAGCCAGTCAGGACAGCAGCAGAAGCTAGTCCTGGCGTCTCTGCCTGCCCAAGACAGGCAGGTGCCAACTGACAAAGGACAGACTTGCTCCTGATACCCCGGCTACTGGACCACTGTGTGTCTCCAAGGGTGAATTTTGCTCAGTGCCACTGTGGGAGGGTAGAGACAAATCAGGTAGTTGTGGAGTTCATTAAAATACAGTTCCTTGTCTGCAAAATAGTTTCTTACCAGGCCACAGTTTCCACTGGCTGTGAAGTAAGACTCTAGTCAATGGAGAAAAAAGCTCTGAGCATCTGTAAGTGGAAATGGGAGAAAAATACCCAGTTGTGGCAGGATGTGTAGTCAGTGGGCTGGTTTGTGAAGCAACACATTCAACTGTGGCTCAGACATATTGTCCCTCCAGGGTAAGGTGGAAGCGGAGTTCCAACTGCTGACTTTGGAGGAGGCTGACAAAAGTCCTGTTGGCTTGGGCCGAAAAGGGCCTGAACCTCTGGAAAAGCCCAAGTGAGTATGTGTATTATCACCTTTAGGTTGAACAGACAGTGCCATGTTCTCAGCAGTTGTGTGTATGGAAACCAGGAGTATTGGCTTGTCTGGAAGCCAAGAGCAATCTCCGAGGTCCTGGGCATTGGGGTCTGCAGGACCAGGACTGCCAGGGTTTTCCAGAGCTCAAATGAGTCCACAGGACTTGAGGCTGCAGCACCTGGCCCAGGATTGATCTAAGGAAGATACTCAAGGCAGCTGTGCCATAACACTGCTTGTACAATGGTCAGGTCTGTCTGTGTGAAGAGATCCCTTGTGTACGAGGGTGAAGGACAGCTCTGGGGACACTGGGACACTGTTCCAAAGAGTCCCATCCTGTTGTCTGTAGAGTTTCCACAGACAGTGTGTTTACTGTAGCCTCTGGGCTGCTCCGGCCTGGAAGCAGCAGGAAGAGCTGGTAATTCATGAGGGTAGCAGGACACCAAAGCAGAAGGGCTAATGTGATGTTCTTATATATGTGATGTGCTTATATATTCTTCTCTTCCTGTTCTAGTCGGCCCAAAACAACTTTCAACTGGTTTGTGAATCCCATGAAGACCTTTGTGTTTTTTATCTGGAAGCGGTACAAGAGATACATAATTGTGCTGTTTGTTGTCACTGTTCTGACAATCTTCCTGGTTCTTCTGATCTACACCATGCCTGGATACATCAGCGAGAAGATCATTAATGGATAAATGCTCTTCAGCAGAGGACTATTCAAAGACAGGGGTGATTGTGGCAGGAATCAAGATCTTAAGATCAGAAAGTTTAATGAAAACCTGTGGGTGCAGAGACAGCCTAAAGAGACAGAGACCTGCAGAAGTGAGCTTTGTTTTCCTCATGAATAAAAACTCCTTGGCTACTCTCTCTGATGCTTGTCCTTTTTAGCTGCTTTCTGGAGCTGGGGGACAACCTGTTTGTGTGGTACAGGCTGATCCTTGTTCAGCAGTCCTCACTACTGCCCTTTGCCCTTCCTCCTGAGAAGTACAGCAGCAAGGACTACACTAGGACAACATGGAGTCACGAGTGTGCATCTGTGTTTGGTGTCAGGCTGACGTAAACTAAATGAGAAAATAAATTCATAAATTGTTCTTGGCATGGTTTGTGGTGCACCAGGTTTCCTGTCATCTGCAGACAAGCCCGGACATGATCTGATCCCAGTGGAGGCGTTTCAGCCAGGGTTTTGACTTCTGAGTAGTGCAGGTGATGCTTAGTGGGACCACAGCTTTTCCAAAGAATTTATCTGACTATGCAGTTTTATAGCAAAGGTGCCTGCCTTATGGCCTTTTGAATGGGGCAGGAATAGAGTATTTTGGGGGACAAAACTGCCTGGGCAGAGCCAGGCAGGTAGATGTGAATCAGGTGAGGACTCTGGCTGGACATGAACCCAGAAGTCAGTGTGGGGCAGACATGATGTTCCCCCAGTGAGTCTAGAGTTCAGCCATGGAGTGGGGACCCCAGAAGGCAAAGAGGGAGGCCTCTCTCCCTCTAGAGGACCTTTGGGCTGCAAGGTGGGAGCGAAATAGGCTGCAAAGGGCTCAGGTCATGCAACACCTGCTTGGGGCTACAGCAAAGTGACAGTGCTGCATCGCTCCCTGTTTTTCTGCAGGGCCCGTTTAGTGGGATGTTGCCTTCATAAGCAGTACCTGGTCCTCCCCGGCAGTGCCCAGTGAGCCCCAGCAGCGACTGCTCCATTCAAACAAACTCAGTGCACTCCAGCACATCCAGTGCACACCTCCAGAGAGCCCTCTTGGCTCTTTCAGCCATGCTCAACCACATTTCCCATCACAGCACCTGTTCAAACACTGGCATTGGTCTCCTTCTCCTCGCAGATGAAGCTGGTGGATTTTGGCTTCCTTTCTCTTGTTGCTTCCGCTTTCCCCGAGGTCTGGGGAACCGGCGGTGCGGTTCCCGCGGTTCCAGAAGCTCCTGGCCGACGGTCTCCTGTCGATTGTCGGATCTCTGACCAAAATGAAGTAGAACAGTTCAGGAAAAAGTACCCAAAAAGCCGCTGAAGGATTCCTGCCGCAGTCTCACCAGGACAGGGAAAGGGGAAGAAAGAAACTTGTTGCTTAAGCTGACAAAAAAACCAAGCTAGCTAAACAACAAAGTAATATCCAGTCTTTTTGACACCCAGCACACCCTGGAGGGAAGCTTGAACAAACCCCACGGCTTGCAAGGCTCCTACACCCGCACCCCGCCCACTGACGCACCTTAAAGTTACAGCAAACATTTCTGGGCATAAAGCCAAGATACGCAGGCTTCCTCAAAATACTTCGGTTTATAATTGCTGCTTTGTGCCTGAGATCTGCAGGTGTGTGTCTGCGTGTACAAACTGAATGGAGGGTGGGGTGGTGTCTGTTCAAGGTGTGAGTTTGCAAGCCAAGAGGTTCAGTTCTGCCTTTGCTGCTGGCAGCACAGTGACCCTAGGCCTCTGCCCCAGACCCCTCCAAGCCCAAATGTGACCATGATTCATGCCAGCAGTTCCCCTCCTGGTCAGCACCATGACTGCTCTGATCTCAGTGTGCAGTGGATGCAGGAGGACTTCAGGTCACCCATCACCTCTGCCTTCATCAGCCACATGGACCACTGCAAGGCTACTGACAACAGCCTGGAGAAAAAGAGCAGGGGTGGAGGGCTACAGGGATGCACCACGGGGGATGGGGTGGCCCTTCATCACTGTGGGCCTACTGATCTGTACCAGATCAGGCACCACCATACCATTTGTCACCATGAGTACAGAGTGGTGTGAATATATTTGGGTGTCGGCAAAACACCCAAAGTAAAGATTTGATAAAGGCATGTGACAGGTTATGGTGGCCAGGGGTGTAAGAGACTGAAGATGGGTCTAAGGCCTGACATATTTGGTCTGCAGTTATGCACATCGACAAAATAATGTAGAAGAACTTACTGTTAGTTGGTAGGACTAACCTTCAGAAATGCAACCATGTGTTGGTCACCTGGTGGGATTTATCCTTTGAAAGGGAAACAATACAATAAAACTGTTGTTGGCATGGAAGTGTGATCATAGGCCATTGTGATCTCAATCTCATGTGTTGACCCCATGTGAGATGATGTTGAAACTGGCCACTCCTGAGGAGGAGATACAGGGTGTGGTCCTGGGGTGGAGAGAGAGGATGACATGATGCACACCGTGTTGATCCAGGGGACATCCTGAAGGTGTGCTGCCCTCCTGCCTCTCCCGCTCAGGAGCCATGCTCTATCTCCTTCTCCTGCTTGGCGGCATCTCCAACATCCAGGGGTCAGTACGTATTTATTGCTAATGCAACAAATAAAATTGACTTGCTTTGCTGTTCTGACTGCCTTGAGTTTTTTGTGCATGGGCATCCTCCTGAACCCATAACACCAGGTGACAGGCACCTGTCAGCTGAGGACAAGAGCAAGGGGGGAGATGTTTGTATGGGAAGGCTGTGCTTAGTACTGGTCCCACACCATGAGTTGAAGAGAAGGCTCTCACATGCCCAGGCAGGGTGGCAGACTGAGGGCTGAGGCAGGGTCTTCCACAGCACAGATCTTTGACAAATGTGAGAATGTCACCAGGAGCAGCCCCAGGGTCTCTAGGATGGATATCTGGACACCTGGAGCCTCTGGGTGCATTGAGGAACCAGCCTCATCCCAGCAGATCTCAGCAGTAAGGGAAGCATGGTGGCAATAAAGGGTGCCAAGCACATGATGCACAGCAACTGCACCCTGATGCTGGCAGCTCTTGGAGCACCTTGGAGCTGCCTATCTCCCACCTCCTGGTAACATGCTTCTCATCCAAACCTCCATGCTATGTCCTTCTGCTTCCTGGCCATGTCCTCTTCCCCTGCTGCTGCTCTCCATCCTGTCCACAGTCCCTTCCCTTTCCAGCTTGCAGACTGATGGTGTGTTTGTTGTTCGCATCATACCATGGCAGAGGACCAGATTGTGCCGTGTTGCCTGACAGTGGATGTTGCTGTTGTCCGCATGTCATGAAAGGTGTGAGATGACCAGCCTGATTGTTGTTGTGCCTGAAAGCCATGGACCCCGTCTGCACATCTGACCCAGCACAGTAGAACAGATTGGCCCACACCGGTCCCTCCAGGAGCCAGATCCATGTTCTGGCCATGCTTGGGATGTATCACCCCCTTCTTCCTTGGAGGAGTAGTTTGGTAGGTGGCCAGAGGCCAGGATCAGCTCAGCTCCCACATCTGCAAGTATTTATCCCCTTTGGTTTTGACCTAAATTTGTGTTGGCCCTAACAGTTTCTCTTTTCAGCAGTGCTGTGATTCCTTGGCATTGACATATCCCTGCTAAGTGCTGGTAATGCTATCTCTGTGTTGCTTATAATTCCAGATTTTTAGCAGGTCACAGAGTGAAATTTTGGACATGGAGAAGAGTGCACTGCTGGCACTGGCCCTGCTTCTCTGGGCTGCAGGAGACACCTTTCTTCCTGAGGACACTGCAAAGGCAGAGCCCTTTCTTTAGGGACACCTTGCTTGATCTTGATATCATGGTGAGCAGCACTACTGGCTCCCTGTGCAGACCTGCCCTGGGAAACTAAGACCCCATATGGTGCACCTGTACATGCCTGGGGCCTGGTGCAAAGAATCAGCTGCCTCTGTAAGGATGCTCCAGCAGAAGGAGGCATCTTCTGGATCCCTCTCTCAAACTCCCCAGAGATGACCTGCTACCTCAGCACTTCCTCTGCACATGAAACATCCCAGTCTCTCATTTTTGTTCTTCACACCGTTGCCAGGAGCTTTGGGATCAGGACAGTGGAACTAGTTTTGGTTTGTGTCTGATAAAGAAGTTCTCTCCTTCTTTGATTCCTTCAGAATCAACTGCTGCTCTGCAGGATTCACGGTCTTTGTAAGTGTGGTGAGGATTGAGCACACTGGAGCTTGGGAAAGCAAACAAGTGGAGCCAGCACCACAGAGCCTGTGCTGTCCCTACTTCTTCCGACCCATGTTTCATTCTCTGTGTGATCGAGAAAATGTGCTCCACGAGAGCTCAGGGCACAGCCTCTGCCTGGCTCCCAGGTAGTGGTGCAGAGGCCCTTTGATCCTGTAACCAGTAGATACAGACCCTTTGCGTTTTCCAGTGCTGTTCTAGTTTGAGTTTCTAGATCCTTCATCTTTGCATCAAACTTCCTTGCAAAGCAAAGTGTTGATCTCCCCTTGGATAAAATAATCACTGTTCAGCTTGCACTGCTTTTTCACTGGCTGTGCTTTTCAATTGCTGAGCACATTTCACAGTGCTCCCCTCTGAGCCAAAATACATCCAGGTGCGCAAGAGTCCTGGTGAGGTGTTGGACGTACAAGGCTCTTGAGAGCTCTCTGCTGCTGGTATCAGTGAGCCATCCCAGCAGGACACACAGGGGCAGGAGAGCAGCTCCACTCCAGGCAGATTCTCCCACCCAGAGGAACTTCTTAAATCATTGAATTCCTGATTTGGCCTTGGGAACCTGACTGGGGCATTCAGCTTCAGGGCTGCATGGAGAGGCTGTGCCAGAATGCCAGAGTGGCAGGTACTGATGAAGAAGGGACAGCAGCTCTGACCTCACTGTACCACCCACAGTTCTCCCCCACAGCATGGTGCAACATTTCCTCTTCCCTTCACAGCTGCTGCACTTGCAAAAAGCACTGCAGAAGCTATTGAGCCCAGAAGCATCACCTTCACCAGTTTGTGCTCAGTGGAATGGGTGCTTGCAAGAGTACAAAAGATGAACTCATAGGAACTGAAGTGTGGGGGCTCTGGTAGCCACCCTGTGGGGAGAAGAGCTGGCATTTCATGGCAACTTCCTGCTTGGGAGAACTCACATCTGGGTTTCCAGTTGCACTGGTGATGGCTTGTTTGTGCTTCTCCCTTTAATATGGGGTGATGGTTCCTGGGCTTTTAGAAGGGACAGGCTATTAGAAGAGACAGCAGGCATCCCATGCTTTAGCCACCTAGGATCATGCAGCTTCTTTTTGCTGTTAAGAAACGACACAGACTCACCAGCAGAAGGATGGTTTGCACAGCATCTTGCTTTACTTAAAATTCTCTCTTTTTATACACTGTTCCAATACAGATAGACCAGACTGGTCAATTATCAATACATTTCACCTGATTGGCTAATTAACAAAATGCCTTTCTTATACACAATCTTTGAGAAAAACAGGAAAACAGAGAGTAAGAAAACAACACCTGCAGGTGGTTTACAATAACAAGCTATCATTGTCTATCTTCAACTCCCTAAAGTCTCACAAGCTGATTCTGGGAAAATTTACCTAGTTTTCTCACTCTCTGACCAGGCTGTCACATCCACAGATTCTCCCATTCTGTTCTGTCTCCCATCTCTGTTGGCTGACTGGACCCCTGGGACAGCAGTTCTGCTGTCTGGGACATGTTCTGGGGGTCAGATCTGAGTACAGATCTGAGTCAGATACCATGGTGAGCAGGGATGTCCATTAGGGCTCTGTTCTCCAGGAGCTGCAGAAAATGGTTTCTATGGAGAAATGGAGCTAGTGCTGACACATAGCAACTGAGGGAGGCACAAGGTGCTACTGGGAGAACATGAGGGATTTTCTAGTACAGAGGGGACACCTGCACAAACCAGCTGTGTTCTCTTCTGACCCTGGGATGAAGGCTGTCCATGAAGCTCTGCTCTTTGCTCTTGCCTTGGGCCACAGAAGCCAAGTCCTAAGTCACTGAGCACTTCACAAATTCCCTGAGGAATGGAAAACCCTTTTCCCTCTGACCTTAGGCTACATGCTTTTTGATAGAGAACAGATGTTCTTCCTGGCAATGATTTAATGCCCTTGAAACTGCAGAACCCCAGGACTGCTAGGGTGGGAGCTGCATGGTGCCTGCATGGGCTTAGCAGGGCAGAGAGACGGTGGGGCTCCCCTACCCCGGCTTCTCTTCATGCATGGGGAAGAGGGCTCACTGCTAGCATTGTGCACTTGGTAGGTGAATGTACACCACTTAGGATGGGGAAGCTGGTGTTTGACTTGTGGCCAGGGTGATGATGCTTTGCTACTAGTTCACAGGTCAGTTTACAAATCCTAAATGTGTTGCAGGCAAGAAGTTTCTTGTACAGCACATGCTGCCAGCCAGCTCTGCCCTGAAGTAAATGGTGGCAGTGGCAACAGCAGAACACAGAAATAATGTTGTTGAACAGTTAGAAAAGGAAATTAATATTGGGCTATTTCAGTTCCCTCAGGGTGGGTGAGCATCCAAGGGGTGTCCTAGGAAGCTGGGCAGAGAGGGTGGGTGAGAAGGCATTCTGTGGTGCCACTGCCACTGGTGTTTGTGATGTATCACTGCAGGTGGCACATAGGATGCTGTTACAGATGTACACAAAGGTGGTGCTGGGCCTGTGCTGCCCGTCCTGTGGCAATGTTTCTGAGCCCTCACAGATGGCAGTGGTCCTGTCTGTTGGGTTCCCTCCCTCCTCCACACCCTTACTGCCCACTGCACAGCCCCCACCAACAGCTCTGCATGGTTCAACACCTGCTACAAGGCAGCCATAGGGCCTCTGCTGACAGGTGCACACCATGAGCTCTCCTCAGATGAAGTTCAGTGGTGGCTGGTAAATGAGGCAATGGACAGGTGCTTGTTGGTCATCCCAGGCTCCCTGAATCTGTTCGCAGTGGGGCAGGGCCAAGAACAGATATGATGGGGATAGAGGGATGCAGAGATCCCAGCTCAATCCTTCCTCCCCTTCATACCCTGCTGCCTGAGCTGTTTTGCACCCTTTTCCTAATATCCCATCTGTTTTTTCTGTTCTTTCCCAGGTCTCTGCTAGGAGAAATGGGGCTCTGTCTCCCTTTGGGCTATTGGTGGAGGTGCTAATGCTGCATGTCACAGTGCTTGTTCCCCTAGACCCTGCAAGGTCCCCTGAGTGGTATCCAGCTCCAGGCCATATTTCAGCAGCTCTTCAAGGTCCTCTGGGCCCTCACAGCTGATGTGTGGGACCCATCTCATTGCAGGACGTGTGCAGTGGTGGGAAACTTGGAGCAGCTGAGTCAGAAAAAACAGAAAGAGTCCAGTCATGGGCTGCTAATTGACGCTCATGACTGGGTGCTGAGGTGGGTGACCTAAAGGGACTTGGTCTCTCCCTGTCTTCTGAAAACCCTAGCACGCCTCAGCCCCTGTCCATGCTGTTGAAATCTGCCAATACAAACCCTGTGAAGGAGGTGGCTGGCTGACCCTGCTCTCCAGAGCCCTACATCCTGGGACACAGGCCTTGTGTCACCCATATCCACTCTTTGCTGCTGGCTGGGGTGACCTGCCGTCCCTGCCTGGTGGGACCAAGAGCCTGGAAAGATGCACCTTTGTTTTGGGACACACCATCCTGCTGTCCTTTAGGGTGAACAGAGCAAAGATCACTGGCTTTGAGCTGGATGTTGGAATAAGAACAACACATCTCTTCATGTGTAGCATATTGGTAAAGCCTTATAGAATAAGAGCCTTGTTACCCTAAAATCATAGATTAGGCCTGCTGTATCAGCTGGGTGCAGCTAACAGCTAGCCTAGCAAGTTACTGTGAAAAAGGAATTGCACCTGTGAAAATAGAGGCTCTGACTGTGAGAATAATTCTGTACCCATGAAACAAGAATGTAAACATCGTTAGAGAGGAAAGTTTTTGATGGACACGTACACTAGCAACTACTAAGCAATGAACTGATTTGCAGTAAGTTACCAATTAAACATGATGCCTTTAGAACTGAGATAAATATGATAAATATGAACTGTGAACAATAAAGATTGGGCTATTTTGCATGAAGAGGTGTCTTGTCCATCTCTACAGTGACATTCATGTACCCAGAAGAGTGCAGTGAACCTAAGGCACAATGTTCACCTTGTCCTTGTCCCCTTCAAACCTCTGGAGCTGCAGTGGGTTACCAGTGTCTTCTCCACAGGAGAACTCACACGGTGTGTCAGCATTGGGGGATGGTGTCTCTTGTGCTGGAAACCCTGCGGATGGCGCAGTGTGGTCGGGGTTTCCAGTGCCTCACTGGAGACCTGGCACTAGTCCTGATGGCACAAAGGGTACTGGGCATCCCTCTGCCCTGCACTTTGAGGTAGCTGGGCATTGACCTGTCCCCACAGGGCTCAGGCAACCTATAGTACCATACTCCTATGAGTGGGATGGCAGCTGTGCCCACAGAGGGGCCACGGGCTTGATGCGTCCCTTCCTACAGCTGGGCCAGCTCAAGGGGTGGGAGATGCCACTAGGCTGGGTGCTGGGAGACAACGGATACCCTCTGCAAAGAAATGGATCCCCTCAGCAGCAGGTGTACATGATCACTGCTCACCTCTGCTTTTGCAGCACACGTGAGAGTTAAACAGTTCATCAAAGAACAAGCTAATGGCTCCATGGGCTCCAGCTCCTCAGGGACAGGCACAACTCTGCTGGGCAGTGAGCCAGTGGCTGCACTGTATTGGGCTGGCTGTCCTGTTCCAGCACAGAGAGCACCATATCACTCCACTCCCCACTCAGGTGTTGATCCTGGGCCCAGCTTTCCTCAAGTACATCCATGACAACTGGACACAGCATCACGTGTGATACCCCTCCACTGGCTTCACAGCCCTGCTCTTTGCCTTGCACACCTGCCATCAGGTGAGCACAGACAATGGTAGTACCAGCTGCTGCCACTGTACCTCCCCTTGCACTGCTTGTCCATATGCTTGTAGGATGCCCCAGTACCCACACAGCATTGGCTCTTGCTGGCATGCACACAGGTCTCCGTGTTTGGCTTTGGAGCAGACAGTGAAGGGAACTGGCCCCACTACTGGGAAAAAAACTCACCGGTCTGGAGCCTTCCGCAGGACGAGAGCCCTGTGGCTTCACTGACGTTGAATTCAGCCCCATTGAGCAACGGGTACATATAGGAAGGATTGTATTCTACAAGTGATGCATTTCCAAGAAACTAGAGCCAGGCTGTTTGGCCAGGAATGGGCCGAAGAACACTGCCAGCAGCTGTCCTGGCTCTTTAGCTTGCTGCTCCACCTCACCACCTGGGCTCACAGACCCTGCAATTTGCAGGGTTTTGGTACTGCTTGTGCTGGTCCTACCAGCTGGGTACTGTGGGTGCCATTCTCCCATGGCAGTAGCAATGATGTGTTCAGCTGGACATAGGGTGGGCACAGTTCTGCCCAAGCTGGTTGGGAGGGACAAAGAGGAGATGCTGGGGCTGGAAGTGAGCATGGAGCCTGTGTGTGGCCCTGCAGGGCTGTGAAGCCAGTGGTGGACAGCAGCTGCTCAAATGTGGCTGTCCACATGACAGAGTGGGTATTTTCAACCACAGATGGCTTTCGGGGGAGGTTTGTAGTTGCTCTTAGGAAAGGAAGATGCCCTCCTCATCCTGCCCAGTCTTTTACTAAGACTTTTATTTTTACAGTCCTTAACTAAGGGAATATTTTTTAAATTGTATCAAGAAAAAGAAGGGACAAATCAAACATGGTGACAGAAGACAACAGAATCAAACACATTTGAAATGATCTTACGTTGGAATAAACTTTGAAAACGCATGAACCACCACCTCCTTTGCTTTTTGACCCCTTACAAGTCTGAAAAAGCATCCCTGCAGAACATGGGGATGCAGATCAAGACTGCAGACCCTGGGGACTGACCTCCCCAAAGAAGTTTTTTTGTACTCCAGAGCAGGGTTAGCAGGATGTCTTTTATCACTTTCAATCACTAACATCCTTGGTTCAGACTCAGCTTTATCATGGTTCTTAGTCACTTGGGCTTTCAGTCTATTCAAATCACCAGAACTCTTGGACTCATATCCTTCCTACTGATAGCAGAAGCCTGTATTACTTAACTTTAATGAACTTAGGTTCATTAATTTTCTATCTCTCCAGATAGAATCTCCATTTCAGTGTCTTAGATTTCTTCTCTCCACTATTTCCAGTTTCCCATCATGAGTACAAGTATTGCACCTTCACCTTCCCTTCACTTTTCTTTAGTCCTCAGGTCTGCTCTGGGAAATAATCTCCAATGCTTGTACAGTTTACAAGCAATTGGCTTTCCTATCAAGGACAAGCCAGTCCTTGACAGGAAACAGTGATAACTGTTTTACTGTGGGTTAAACTCTTGCTGCATTACTTCCTTTCATATTCTCTGTCCTACTACTCCTATAAATTTAGTTGCAAAGCTGAAATGCACTGATGAGCAATTGAAGCTGTTCAGGTCACTTTTTGATCCTGAGAAACATACAGATACTGTGTTCCATTCCTCATGCTGTAGTATGTGATCCTGACCCACGGGATTCATTAAATATCCTTGTAAAAAGGCATTTAAAACAAACCTGCTTTTCAACATTCTTGCTTGGCGATAATAATTCTCCTTACCCATGCCACAAATTGCTTTTCTCCCCAGCTGAGAAAACAGCAGTTTTTATATTCCCTGGTTTACAGGTAAGTTCAACTAATTAAAAAACCCAACCACATAGCAAAACCAGCTTTAAAATAAATTATAAAACAGCTTTCTCTCTGCAGTATCTGATCCTGTGCCTGTCCAATTGCTGGGACCAATATCAGAGTCATACCAAAGCAAATCCAGATCTGAGATTTAAGAGTAATCAATCTGTTTTACATCAAATAGGCAATAATTCACAAAATTTTTTCCTCATTATTTTCAAATTTCTCCCAATATAGTTTCAGATACCAAGCACTTTACTCACTTGTGTAATGATTTAACACAAAAAAGCCCCATCATCATCAGAATCTCTACATACTCTGCCACAATGCAATGTGTCTTTTCATTCTTATTTCCAATTCAGTATCAAGACTAGTTCAAATAATTTAATTATTCTTCCATATGCCTTACTAGCACAAGAGAGGATGGACTTTATTTGAAAATATATACCAAGAGGAAATGAAAAAAAAAATCCAATTAAAAAATCAGTTAAAATTCCGGACACCTTTTTTTTCTGAAACATCAACTTGCATCTTTCAGAAGAAGAACAACTGGGAGCTTCCCCAGCACAGAAAGTACATCCCAAATGCTTAGGTTCCCCATACAGCCCAGGATGGCTGGAAGGCAACAGATGGGATTCAGCACATTTTTAGAGGTCTGACCTACAGCATCAGCGCACTCAGAAACATTTTATGGAAAAATTAAAAATCCCTGATGGTGCTGCTAGAAAGCTTATTTGATGGCAACTTCAATCCATTACAGGTCTCCTGACAATAAAGTACATTATTCCTAGAGGCAAACAGAATGCAGTATCTCCAGCATCTCTGTTGGGAAGGGGAATAGAACTGGAGGAACATGGAGGGACGCAAAAAGAGTGTGACAGTAGGACCTGCAGAGCCAGATGTGATAGCTAATCTTTATAGCAGCAAGGTTCAAGTCGTTCCAACCACAAACTAAGGCCAAAGAATCAGGGCACAGTAACATATGGGTGGTTAGGGCCATCTGGAAGTTGCAAACCTCTTCTCCTGTGCACTCTCACAAGATCACTTGTGCTTCAAAGAGCCTGTTCAGTTCTCCATGGAGGCTTGGGAGGGTTACTTTGTTTTGTCTGTTTTTGTTTGTCTGTTTGTTTGGTTTTGGTTTATTTGTTTTTAAATGGGTTGATGCCATTGCTTATTTATGTTGTCTTCCCAAGTTCAATTTTCTTCTGGATGGCACGTGCTGAGTGATAGATGAAGGAGTCAATGAAACCAGCAACTAAAAAGAAAAACCAAATGGATGAAGTCAGACATGCCTCAAAGAGAGAACAACTCCCAAAGATAGAAAACACAAACCCTGCTGTCAGAGGAAAGGAATCCCAGGTCCACCAGACAGAAGGTTCTGCTGCCGCTGTTGCTGCTCAGAACAGTAAAGTCCTCAACTCCTCAGGACAGACAAGACCCACCCTGCAGGACAGAGGTGATCATGCTTCTCTAGAAAAGATCCCTTTTCCAGAAATAAAAGACAGGCTGCGTCATGTGTGTTTACTGATGACCGAGAAGAGTTTGGAGAGGAAGCTGATGTGCTTTATGCCACTTGTTGCCTTGACTCAGCTTGCAAAGGACGTTTCCCATTTCTTGCTCATTTCACAGCAACCTTAAAAGTACCATATGCTGCCCTTAAAGGACGCCCTTTATTGGAGATGGCAATGTACACCCACCAGACACAAAGCAATACAAACCACTGCCTTTAATTCTTTCTGCAATATTTTCCTCAAACCTCTCCAGCCCTGAAGAAGCCTATTAACTCAGTGTTTGTTTGTGACCACAGAAAAACTCAGAATGGTCTACTGTACCACAAACCCCAGACAACCAAGGTTTTCACAGGACAGGAACCTTGAACTCCTGCCAGGGAAGGAACACAAAGGTTGCTCGGGAGCTATTTTCCAATGATTGGATTTTATAAAGCTTCATACTCTTTCTTTTATTCAAAACTTCAATCAAAGGAATAAGTAAATGATTACCTGGCTGTATACAAAGACATTTCAATATGATACAAAGCAATGCAGGTAAAATGGGAATGGAATCTTCTGTTTATTACTATATAATATGGAATTCTTGGACTTAATATTTGGTCTATCATGCCTCAGATAACTCTTGTGTGGTGGTTTTGCCCTGAAATTATCTCTACTTGTGGGATCAATTTGATACTGTTACACGAACACTGAGGTGACTTTAGAGTGATAGCATAGCACAGAACCATCTAGGTTAGAATAGCATAGAATCATCTAGGTTGCAAAAGACTTCTAAGGTCATAGCGTCCAATTGCCCCCAGCTCTGCCAAGCCCACCACTAAACCACGTCCTTAAGTGTCACATCTATACATCTTTTAGATTCCTCCAGGGAGGGTGACTCTACACTGCCCTGGGCAGCTTGTGCCACAGACAACCCTTTCTATGACATTTTTTTTTTTTCCTAATATCCAATCTAAACTTCCTCTGGTACAACTTGAGGCCATTTGCTTTCATCCTGTCCCTGTTAGAAGAAGAGACTGACCCTCATCTGGCTCCAACCTCCTTTCACACAGTTGCAGAGAGCAAGAAGGTCCCTCTTGAGCTTCTTTTTCTGCAGGCTGAGCAACCCCACCTGCTCCTTATCAAACCTACGTTCCAGCTCCTTCCACAGCTCCATTCTCTTCTCTGGACTTGCTGCAGCACCTCAATGTCTTGCTTGTCATGAAGGGTCCAGAACTGAACCCAGGATTCAAGGTGCATCATCAATGTGTAGTGGGGGACAGTCACCGCCATGGTCCTGTTGGCCACACTACTGCCGGTACAAGTAAAGACCTTATTGGCCAGTAGTTGATTTGATCTCTAGAATACAGAGTCTGAGCATGGTGTATGGCAGAAACATGAATTGGCTGTCAAACCCAGTCAGTGCTAAGGGGCACTTGAATTTGTCGTGAAAGTAATTTCTGAATGACTTTTCAAATCAGAGAGATTAATAGGATAAAATTTATTGCAGACAGAAATTCTGTTTAACAGTATCAGGTTAATTGAGCACTGTGACATCTCAGATGATGGGAAAACCTCGCAGATAAAGGTATGATGTTATAGGTATTTGATACAGATGTTAAGTGAAACAGAAACTGGTTTCCTGACCACATCTTCAGGCTGGTCCTTAACATCTATATGTCTGACTATGAGCACCCTGGATTACTACCTGGAGAGCACAGCTGCACCAACGCACAGAGCTGAGCAGATACTGATTAGCTATTCCAGATGCCAGCACTGAGAGTGAACTGCAGATACTCAGATGGATCTGCAGGAACCTCTGAGCCCCTTCTCACAAGACCCCGTCTAGTCCTTGCAGAATACTAGCTAGACCTCCTATGTTTGGAAGCAGTTTGATATCTCTCAGATATATATTATGCCCATGGCAACCTGGGTTCACAGACTTAACTGGCATTGATTCCACATGAAAACAACTATCTACTTACAGACCCAAGCTGGCCAAGAATGCAAGTACAGACATTTTCATATGGTCTGTGAATAACAGCTTTGTCAGAAAACAAAATGTCCTGTAGAGCATCAGAATTATATATTATGACAGGTCTACAGGTCTAATGAAATGAAATGCTGTAATAGGTCTACATTATCTTGTAAGCCTACAGTGCTAGCTACAGTCTGATGGCACTCCTGTAGCTCTGCAGAACATGCTGTATCACTTCCCAAGGGCTGAAATAATATCTCTTAATCTAACAGGGACTTATTACTAGACATGCAGACTTTAGTGTAAGATAGTAAATATTTACACTTTAGAAAGCAAAATGATTGAAAGGTGCAATACCTGTAAATATGCCTCCAACAATGGCACAAACTCCAGTGAGAAAGTGAGTAAAGGACCTAGAATTTGAACAACCAGCATGAGCTCAGATACCAATGTCAGGTATGTAACAATTAACTAATAATTCTAATATTCATCATACCATATAAGTATGCATTACCTAAATATTCATAGCTAACAATTCTCAAATTAAAGAACTAATTAACCCCTATTGGCTACAGAATAGAGTTTGTCACTGCTACTTTTAGTC